AAAAAAAAAAAAAAAAAAAAAAGAGAATAGAGAATCAAGTCAGATTTTCCTTTGCTAACTGATCATCTGCTAGAAATGACATGTGGCAACACAATTAAAGTTTAAGAAACACGAAAAATCACCTGGCACAGTGGCTCACATAGGTAATCCCAGCACTTTGCGAGGCTGAGGCAAGAGGACTGCTCGAGCCCAGGAGGTCAAGGCCGCAGCAAGTCGTCACTGAGCCACCGTTCCCCAGCCTGAACGACAGAGCAAGATCCTGTCTCAAAAAAAAAAAAATGAGAGCCATTAACCAAGTGTTCCAGTTGCCTAAAATGAAGGTGCTGTAGAGGGGAAATTTTCCCTCTGGTCTCTAAGGGTTTGATAACTGAGTCTCTGAACGAAGCTAACAGTAGACAGATTGATGAGAGAAAAAGTATACACATTTACAACGTATACTAGGGCAACCCACAATCCAGTGAGATCTGCAGCTCACGAGTTTTGCCTTCGGAAGAATCGGTGGTGGCCTGTGGCAGTCTGTCTGGTATGGAGCTGAGGTCCCTTGGTGCTCCTGTCTGGTGATACCAGTTCTTTCTTCTCTGTGGATGAGATTTCCAGGAAGGGTGTCAAGACAACTGAGCTCCTTTGAGATGATCTATCTTTACTTAGATAAAGGGAATTCAGAGAATGCCCCTCCCTGCCTTGGCAGGTCCCCATATGTCCTCGGATTGATGGCATACTAACGTGGTAATCAGTGTACTAGTTATTAATCAGTATCCTACCGTGGCATAATTCGGGGTGGCATTTCCACAACTCTTTCATTACTAACCAGCTCTTATAAACTAAAAGTGATTCAAGTGTTAAAGGACCTTTTACTTGAATATCCTCCAGGCTTTAAGTGATCAAGAATTCATCACCGTTGTTAGTTGAGAAGGTGGCTGAGCAGGTCCCTGTAATTCAGTGTCAGCACATCACAGGTTCAGGAAAGGCGTGACAAAAAGGGATTTTTAAGTCTTAAAGGAAAGTACAAGGTGGGCGGGGACTCAGACAACACAGTAGCAAGCATCTGGCTCAATGCTGGAGAGGAAGACAGTGGGAGATCCGGGCCAGGCTCCGAGTGCGAAACTGCTTGTCTGCCTCCTGGCCGTGGGTCTGCTGGACCCGTTCGCTACTGGAAATGAGTCTGTCTGACCGCACGGCATCGTCTCCACGCGTGTTGTGTTGATCTCCAGGGTTAGAACCAGAACCCATGAGGACACGGGAAAGACCAGAGGGCCTGGGGCTGACCTAAAGTCCAGCGATCAAAATACTCTGCATTTTCAGGAAACCGCTGTCACGATTTAATCTAAAAAACCTCATCTGTATTTTCGGCCACAGTTTCCTTCCGTCATCATTACTTGGCGAAGTCTCCACGCGCTCCCGTTCGCCGGCGAACTCAGGGTGACCGGGCTCCCCTATATTGGGGAGTGGGGACTGGCGTCGCTTGTCTTCCCTGGCCTCTGCTTGGTTTCTTTCTCCTCCTCAAGCATGTGCCCTCCAAAGTGCGGGGATTACAGGCACGCGCCACCGCGCCTGGCGCTCTCACTGCCTTTTTATTTGTTTTTAGCTTTGAGACAGTTTTGCTCTTTTTTTTTCTTTTTTAAGAGATGGGGTTTCACCGTGTTGGCCAGGCTGGTCTCGAACTCCTGGCCTAAAGTGATCTGCCCGCCTCGGCCTCCCAAAGTGCTAGGATTACAGGCGTGAGCCACTCGCCCGGCCTGACAGTTTTGCTCTTGTCGCCCAGGCAGGCGTGTAACAGCGCGATACCGGCTCACAGCAACCGCAACCTCCCGGGTTCAAGCGATTCTCCGGCTTCAGCCTCCCGAGGGGCTGGGATCACAGGCGCGCGCCACCAAGCCCGGCTAATCTTCGTATTTTTAGCAGAGACGGGGGTTTCATTACGTGGGCCAGGCTGGTCTAGAACGCCCGGCCTTGGGTGATCTGCCAGCCTCGGCCTTTCGAAGTGCTGCGATCTCAGGCCTGAGCCACCGCGCCTGCCTCTTGCTGCCATTTTTAAGCCGGTGATGTCGACCCAGCCTTTCCAGAAGCTTTTTTTTTTTTTTTTTTTTTTTTATAGACAGAATCTCGCTCCGTCGCCCAGGCTGGAGTTCAGCGGCGCGGTCTCGGCTCTTCCCAGCCCGCGCCCCAGCTTTCGTCCCGCTGTGGGGAGAGGCCACGCAGCTCCACGGGAGGGCCGCGGGCGAGAGGCGGGGCCGGGAGGACGGTGAAGGGCGCGAGCAGTTCGCGGTTTCCAGAGCGGGTTCCTTCCCGCCCGGAACGATCAAGCCCTTTCAGAATCTTCTCGGCCTCCCTGGAGCAGGCCGCCCATTGCCTACGGCGCTTTCGGCACGTCTGGGTTCTCGGGTACCGTAGAGGCGGTCCCGAGCTCCGCCCCCTCACCCCAGCTTCCAGGCCTCCAAGTAGCGGCGGAAGGGCCTAGAACCTTCGCGAAGGTGGGGCGGGCGCCCCGTCGCCGGGCCCCCCCCGGTATGGGCAGCGGAAACTGCGCATGCGCGGCGTCAGGACGGGGCGGAAGTTGACGTCGCTGAGCCGCCGCCGCGTGACGCATTTCCTGTTTGTTGTTGGAGAAAGGAGAGAAAGGAAAGCGCGAGGAGCCGCCGCCGCCACCACCCGCGCAGCAGTGCTGGAGCCGTGAGGAGATTCGGGCCGTCACCCCCACCTCCCCTGCGTCCCGCCACCGACCGCCTTCGTCCTCGGTGAGAGTCTACTCCGAGGGTCAGGGAAGGTCGGCCGAGGGCCCCCCGCGCGGCCGGCAGACGACGGACCTGACCCGGCGCCTGGCAACAGCGTGCGGGGGGTGGCCCGGGTCGCCGGCCGGCCCAGGGCTAGGCGGGGCGGGGGCCGTGGCCCGGGTCGCGGGGCGAAGGGTGCGTGGGGTCGTCTGGGTCTGGGGTCGGCGCTGGGGTCTGGTGCCGCGCGGCCGCGTCCTCCCCGCCCGGCGTCCTTGCGGGAGCGCGGCCCGGCCTCCGCGGCGGCGGTTGGGGGCGGGGCCTGGGCCTGGGAGCGGCCGGCTGGGGCCCGGGGCCGGGGGCGGGCGCCGTGGGAGGCGGGGAGCGCTGGCTTTGCCGGGGCCTCCCGCGCTGGAGCCTGAAACCAGAAACGCGGGTGGCTGGCGGCGCGGGAAGGCGCGGCCGTGCCGCCAAGTTCGGAGCGAGCCGCGGAAGCAGGTGGCGGGCCGCAGAGCGCTGTTGCTGGAACTCCGGAGGGGCGTTGGAAGTTCGCGGGCGCGCAGCCTGTTTCCTGCTCAGAGCGCCGCCCTGCTCTGCGGTAAAGAAGCTGTGCCGTGGGTGATGCAACTGGAGTTTTATACTAAAACTTACGGGGAAGGAGGTCGGTGACACGCGAAGGGTGAACTGCCAGCCGTGCATCGGCTCGAAAACGGTTTTGGCGCCAGCGCGTTTTTTAAAGGACGGATTTGCTGGTGTGATGTAGACTTCAGTGCTGACTTCCTCACGTACACGAGGCAGGAAACGGCCGGAGCCGCAGGACCACGGCAGCCACGCAGGGTTGCTGCCTGTGAGCGCGGAGGCTTCAGCCCGTTTGGGAAGAGTAGGCTGGGCGGCGCTCTTTGTAGTTTTTATCGTTTTTATTTTATTTATTTTTTTTGAGACGGAGTTTTGCTCTTTTTGTCCAGGCTGGAGTGCTACGGCACGATCTCGACTCACTGCAACCTCTGCCTCCCGGATTCAAGCAATTCTCCCGCCTCAGCCTCCCGAGTAGCTGCGATTGCAGGCATGCACTACCACGCCCAAGCTATTTTTGTATTTTTAGTATAGAGACAGGTTCTCCATGTTGGTCAGGCTGGTCTCGAACTCCCGGCCTCAGGTGGTCCACCCGCCTCAACCTACCAAAGTGCTGGGATTACAGGCGTGAGCCACCGCGTCCGGCAGACTCCAGACTTCATTTTTTCCACTCTTGAGAGCCTTAAGCTTCCTTGGAGTTGGTGCTTTCACATTTCTTTCTGCCTTTTGTGATAAAAGGATGAGTACTTATGCACAGTTGAATGAGCTGTGCGTTTTTATGGATTATGTTGAATGTGAAATTTGGGAATTGCCTTCAATTGGTACATGTGGAGACTTGACAGGAAGTGGGAGAATAAAAGGTTGAGAAGCTTTTGAAAAATGCCCAACTAGGCTTAGTCTGTGTTGTGGAAGATGAGAAAGTGGGGAATTTCAAAGGGCAAAGCTTCTAAAGTATTTGAAGGTCGGGCAGGTCGGGCACGGAACGCCTGGAAATCCCAGCACTTTGGGAGGCCGAGGCGGGGAGATAACCTGAGGTCCGGAGTTTGAGATCAGCCTGACCAACATGGGGAAACCCTGTCTCTATCCAAAATACAAATAGCCGGCTGTGGTGGCGTATACCTGTAATCCCAGCTACATGGGAGGCTAAGGCGGGAGAATCGCTTGAACCTGGGAGGTGGAGGTTGCAGTCAGCTGAGATCATGCCGTAGCGCTCCAGCCTGGGCAACAAGAGCAAAACTCTGTCTCAAAAAACGAAAACAAAAAAAATTGAGACGAGTTCAGAACCCTCTTTGAGAAACATCAGTGTTTAAAAAATTTATTCTGGATATGAAAGTGTTAGGTTTGGGAAGTAATTTTGGCTGTAGCGCAGTTTTTTTTGGAACACTGGAGAGTATTGTTGAATATTGTAAAGATTAAGATACGGTTATGGTATTACAGTGTGATACTTGTAACTGAGTGGCATACGTTAGTTTTTGTTTTTAAGCAAGTCCATAGTCCCTTGTATTAACTCTATTTTGGACAGTTTCAAATAACAGTGATACCCATCACCGCCATCAGTTTTCAAGGAACCTAACGCAAATCCAGGTTTGGGGTGTGGGGTGGGATGGTCTGTTTGCACTTTTTTTTTTTTTTTTTT